TAAGTACATATCCATCACTCAGTACTCAGTTAGAAACCCTAATTATTTAATTTTGAGGGGAACAATTTAGAAAAAATTCGATTCTACGCAAATAGATGAATTTTGGCGTTTCGAGCCCTTGTTGATCACTAGTGCTGTACAAACAATTGAGCATTTGTTTAATGCTTCTCGATCAGGAAATCTTGTGGAAAGCTGTGATTGACGAAAATGTCCATAAAGAGCAGTGGGTGTTAGCTAAGAGTTTGAAAACAAGAAAAAGTTACTCTCAATCAACTTTTCTCATAATCTTTACAAATTACATTTTACTCTCAATTATAAGTAAAAGTTCTGCTGTATTTTTCAGTACTTTTGCCCCTAAATCGCTCCAGGCTAAACTTTGCAACATTTTAGATAGCATAAGTTATTGTCCAGAGGAATACAATAAATATTAAATTCCATCTTAATTAATTATTTCTGTTTTTAGTCCAGAAAGCTGGGAAACAGTAAAATCAGGGCCGGTCAAAAGGGTTGTCAGGAATTGACTAGTCGTATTGATTACCGATTTTTTTTGCATTTCTCAAGTGTGGCGACTGAAAATCACTGTAGGTTAAATATAGTATCGGAGTAGGTTAAGTATTCAAAAAAATCAATCGTTTCTATAGTTTATTGGGTTTTTTGCATGCGAATCAGACCTCAGTTTACATTTTCTTTCAAAGTAAATTTGTTGAACTCAGTAATCACTTGTTTTTTGGATCATTCGGTCCAGATTTTGAAGATTTTTTCCCTCGCATTTTCCTGACAAGATTCGCGAGAAACTCTTCCATTTTATTCTGTCCAAAGCATAGCGTTTCTACTCCAAGATTTCTCAGGTCCGATCTGATCTTGTCCATTTATCTCATTTCCGGTCTCCCTCGTGGTCTTTTACCTACCACTTCTATTAATAGAGCCATTCATTTATGTGATTCTCTTCTCTTCTACACCATGTCCATACCACGCAACGCCCCTCCTGCATCTTTTGGGCGATTGGAGTAACCTTCATTTGCAACAACCATTTCGTTGAAGATGCGGTCCCGCATCGTGAGACCTAAGGTCTATCGCAGCAACCTAGTCTCTTTGACCCTGAGCTTGTTTTCTTCCTTTCGTGTGCTCGGCCAACACTCACCGCCATATAGTGCTGTCGAACGGATCACACTATGATGTCTGTGATTTAAAATAATAACTGCATTCGTTTGTCGCAGAGGACGCCTTCAAGCTCCTGCACCTCAACCAGTGCACTTGTTCTGGTCGACATTTCGTCTTCAATTCCTCCTTAGCGGACGTGTACCT